TTAAAATGAGATGGTCTCTGAATCTAGGTGTCAGCTCTTCAGTTTAATCGCTAGTAAACCGTTTCACTTTAAGTCGGAATAGTCTGGGAGGTGAATTGGGGCAAACTGATTTCTGGCCCCAATCTGTCTTTGACTGAACGATACAAGATGTGCAGGAACTTCTAGGTACCGCCCCCTCCCAACTGAACTCAGGGCCTCCCGCGTGCCAGACAGGCACCCAGCACGGATCTACCGGGCAGGCCCCCTTCTAAGTCAGTCTAACCTTGGGAGTACGCCGCTATTCTTTGCCCACTCAAACATGGATCCTTGCGGAGCTTTAGAATGAAGCACTCCTATTGGGTTGGAGTGGTAGCTTTCAGCGCAAACGGTCTTTGAAAGATTTATTATGCCTAAAAAATGTTCCTTCATTTTGTAGAGATGGATTTAGGTGCTGTTACAAAACACTCAACATCACATGCCAAGCCCAGTGGACTTGTTCTTCAATATGGGACTGCCGGATTTCGAGCAAATGCAGAGCATCTTGATCATATCATGTACCGCATGGGATTGTTAGCGGTCCTGAGGTCAAAACAGACAAAATCCACCATAGGCGTCATGGTCACGGCATCACACAATCCTGAGGTAATGCATGCAGTGCTCTGTTAAAGCAGCCATTGTCTGCGGACTAAACCCTGGAGTCTGGGCAGTTTGAGTCCAAGTACAAATTCTCATTCCAAGAACATGCCTTACTGATGTGTGCCTTTGGCTTTCAAATAACTCTTGCTTAATAGAGTGGTTATTTAGCTGAAGACTCATTAGAGGGTGTGGAGACTGAAGTGAGACTTTGGAGCGTGTCCATATTGGAGAAGTAATGCAGTGTCCTTCCAGGTTACAGTAGTTGCACTGAGGACAGTGTTCATAGTGAAAAAGTGTAACCTCCGTTAACTTAGGAGTAGTTACGCAGCTGGAGGTAGGTGGGAGAAAGGCCAGCCTTTGAAAAGACATTGTGGCATAATTCAGACTAAAAAACAGCTACACAGTAGTTTCCTGTTCTAATTCAGTAGCCAACAACTGGGTCTAGAGATCCAAAAGTGAGTTTTGGGCAGAATATTGATGAGGTTCTAGTCTTTAGAACAGTTAAGGTTTTAATGAAACGTGTTCTTCTGACTAAATTGTTTTTATCTTTCAGCTCTAGAGTTTTGGTATAGTTATCCATTATTGAAATGATGATCACAAGCAAGCTAATTAACATACTCAATTCACAGTTACCTTTTTTGTAGTGAGGATACTTAAGATCTACATGGAACACATGTGAGGTGTATAGTACATTGTTATTAAATACAGTCCCTGTCATAGACTACATGTCCAGAGCTTTGTCATAGCCTTAAATTCGTACCCTTAAACCAACACGTTTCTCCCGCATCCAGCCTCTTACAGTCATCATTGTACTATTTCTATGAATTCAGCCATTTGTATTCCGCATAGTAAGTGATCACGTATCTTTCCATGCCGGGCCTGTTTCAATTACTGTACTGTTCTTTCGGTTTGGCCATGTTGCAAACAGCAGGATTTTCTTTTTCTTTTCAAGCTGAATACTGTATATTTCTGTGTATATATGACACTCCTTATCCTTTCATATGTCAGTGGGTACTTAGGTTGTTTCTCTGTCTTGGCTACTTTCTGGTTTTTTTTTGCAGTGCTGGGGATTGAACTCGGTCGCACACATGCTGGGCTCATGCTTTGCCGCTGAGCTGCAGCGCCAGGCCTATTTATTTTGAGGCAGGATCTTAATAACCTGCCTTTCAGTACTTCTGCCTCAGCCTCCTGAGGAGCTTAAATTACATGGATATGCCACCGTGCCAAACTTAGCTACTGTTTGGACATAATTTAACTTTTATTTTCTCTTACCTATAGTCCACTAACTAAAGAGAAGTTTGAATGATATGCTTCTCTTTTTTTTGTTTTTTTTTTTTGTAATACCGGGGATCGAACTCACAACGTTGCGCTTGCCAGGCAGGCACGGATGCCACTGAGCTATATCCCCAGCCCCGATATTCTTCTCTTTAATTACTAAGGCATGAGATTTTTGTCTTTGTAGCTAAATCACCAACAAGTAGAAGCAATGTAGGTCTCAGTTACGGATGGTCGCCTCTTACAATCCGTATCTCATCCATCTCCATTACGGATGGTAACCCCAAAGTGAGGATACTGCCTTTTTGACCTCTAAAGGTGTGACCACCTAATGCATCTAAACATGAAAGTCCCTGTAATGTATTGATGATGTGTAGGAAGAACCTCACATTTATAGCTGGTTCCAGAAGCATTTTTCAGAACCGTTCCGAGCTGTTTCAGGGGACACTCACTCTAAGTGGTACTTTCCTTAAATTGCAATTGCAGCAGAGCAGCACCAGGAGCCAGCTTGAGGTGCCTGTGTGGGCCTCCTGCTCTGGGAGTGCAGAGGCACGGTGGGCAGGAAGTCTGGTGTCCCCCGCTGCATTGTGCACTAGGTAACTGATGAGAGACACGCAGGTGACAACGTTGTAGAAAAACTTGTGTAGCATTGCGGTTGTCAGGTTTAAGTAAGATGGACTTGATGTGTTACTTTTGGCATGATACTTAATAGGTGTATGATCATAGCACAGTCCCTCGCTTCTCTGAACTTGCTACCTGTAAGCTGCAGTAATAATGGATTGTTAATTAGGTTGATGGCTTGTCATGAGGAGCATTATTATTAGGTGGAAACCTCTGGAGCTGCTCAGCCGTTCCTGTCGTGTTTGCGGGGAGAAGACAGCAAGAGTGCCTTAGCGCACCCTCGTGGATGTGTACGGTGACTCACTGTTCATTTTGCTTTGAAGGAAGACAATGGTGTGAAGTTGATCGATCCCTTGGGTGAGATGTTGGCACCGTCCTGGGAGGAGCACGCCACGCGCCTGGCCAATGCTGAGGAGCAGGACCTGCAGAGAGTGCTTGTGGGCATCAGCGAGGGCGAAGCTGTGGATCTGCAGCAAGAGGCCTTTGTGGTTATTGGGAGAGATACCAGGTGCGTCTCTGAGAAGGCAGTGTACCGCAGCGTGAAGGGTTGCGTTGGCTTTACTGCCCGAAACAGGCGGAGAGAATGAAGGAGCACAGCGCTTCCCCCTGTGGTGTCTCCGCCGTGGTCTGTGTCGGGGGAGGAGCTGACGCCCGCCCGCAGCCGGGGCTTTAGCGGCCAGTCTGGTTTGAACTCCGCATCTGTCTCTTACATAGTTTGAACAGGTCATTATTTTGGAGCTTCTGTTGCCTCCTCTGTAAACTGTCAATCGTTAGGGCTGTTACAGTGTTCCTGTGAGAATCAAATAAGACGTGCAAAATACTTCCTGGCATGAGAGAAGCACGGGCCATAGGATTTTCCCCCACAGAGTCAGAACACGTGATTTTAACTCATTATCTTTACAGAGATTTTCTTTGTAATCTGTGTTACCATTGGTTCAAATATTTCTAGTTTTCTCATTTTGTAGTTGACTGAAAAACAGTAATTTATATTATATACATTTGGCAGCTTTTGCTTTTGTAAAACATGAGATTAAAAGCGTAGTACTTTGAAAGGGTAGCATTGTCTTTTGCATAAGATTGGTTATATCTGGAGATTCTTTCAAAAGGAAATATTTCTTCATTCTCCTAGTAGCTTGGACTTTCTCACCCTCTATTGTACTACTAGAGAGTCTTTACTGTCTTTTACCCTGTATTGTGTTACCGTGTTGCTAGTACCAGGGATGGTAGATTTATAGGTAGCAAAAGTAGGTGATTTCTATATTGAAGTAAATTATTATCCTACGTGTGTTCGACTCCTTACTTGATAAATAGTTCAAGTGATTATATCTTCTAAGAGGAAGTCATAGAAAGATCTGCCTTAATTTTGCATAGATCTTTCTGATACTGTAAAATGAGAAGTAGGTTCTGGGTCCTAGGTATTTTAATATCTAGCACTGGATTATGCAAACTTTACCATTACTATTGTTGCTGTTCCCAGTTTATCATCTGTGTTGCCATAGTTACACTTGGAAAGCTATTTGGCTGTCACCTATGAAGGTTACCCTTTGTATCTGTTCTCTGAATTATTTTAAAAGCTGAAGGTTTTCTAAGAGATTGACTTTGAAAGGCTACTGGAAAATGCTTATAATTTACCTGTCTCTTTGAGAGTTGTTAGCTTTCAGTGCAGATGTAATCAGTTTATTACTTTGAAATTGGTAGTTATTTGTTCTCATGACCAGAAACTGTTGTCTTCAGAGAGAGATTGTTTTTCTTCCTTGTCTCCCTAGGCCCAGCAGTGAGAAACTTTCACAGTCTGTAATAGACGGAGTGACTGTTTTAGGAGGTCAATTCCATGGTATGTAGGTTTCTTTACAACTTTTTTTCTTTAAAGTTTCTTTAAAACTTTTTTAAAATTATAAAATGTATCTCTGCTGTTTGAAATCATAGATGAATAATAGTTTGAAAAACTAACTCTTTGGGGCTGGGGGTATAGCTCAGTGGCACAGTGCCTGCCTGGCAAGCACAAGGTCCTGAGTTTGATTCCCAGTATCAAAAAAAAAAAAAAAAAAATTGACTTCTAGATATAAAATATTACTAATTTAAAAGAATCTTTCAGATTTTTCCTAGGCAGGTTTTTTTTTTAAAACTAAGGAAGTACTGTAGGAAATTATGGCTAGAAAACACTGATTTGATCTAACTTCCTTTACTTTAGGGAGGCTGGATTTATTGATACAAAAATGTTTTGGAGGTAACAAAAGAATTCCATTTTGGGGTTTTGGGGCAGCTTTAGGTATTCCCTGATAGCTGATCACCTGTCAAACACAGATGGACAAGGGGCTGGGGATTTAGCTCAGCGGCAAAGCGCCTGCCTGGCAAGTGCAAGGTCATGAGTTCGGTTCCCGGTACCAGAGAAAAACCAAAAAACCAAAAAAAAAAGAAACCACTGATGGACAGTATCGTTGGCTTGCAGGTGATGAGGGTTTACAGTTTTGACAGGCGCTTCCTGCCAAGTGAGGCGAAATGCAGCCCGGTGGAGGCTGGGGCCCTCCTGTCTTGTGAAGGCAGTGACTCACTCCTCCGTGCTTCGAGGTGAATTTGTCCTGCTGTCAGCGCTTTCTCATTAGTACATCTTCTGTGGACTTCGCAACCTCCTTTCTAGCCTTCGGCCCCTCTCAGTGCTCTGGCCTGAGCGCAGTGAGCTCACCTGGCTGTCTTCTGGGCGCTTTTCCATTGCTTGTTCCTCAGCCTGCTGCAGGCGAGTCTTCCCTCGCCTGTCCAGGGAAACGTCTCCTCCGCACTCCTCGGAATTCTGAATGCCAGACTATCCAGTGGGGATGCTGAGTTTCTGACAAAGCTGTAGGGGGACTTTGTGGCCCCTGGACACATGCACGGTGTTACGCATATAAATGCTTTTCTAGGGGGAGCTACATATGGTTTGTCAGCTACCTGCTGAGATCTGTTCCACACATTAACTTTAGGAATGCATCTCCTAACGTTTTTATTTCAGTTGACCTCTTTGTAGCCTCCACAGTTAAAACTCATTCTTCCTCAGCTTCTGCTTGCTTGGCCACGTCCCTTCTCTGCTGGCTCGTCTATTTCTTGCTAAAGGGCCAGTTTGCTACTTCTGCCTGGTTTCTGAATGCCCCTGTCTCCTGCCGCAGCCCCATGACCTTTATTCATTAGTTTGTCAGACGCTTCTGATCACGGGCTGTGGCCAACCGCCAGTAATCTGTTACACTGTGTGTCCGTCTCAGTGCAAAAGCTGTCTTATAGCACGATGCGTTTGTCCGCTTGTGTGGAGAGCGGAAACGGTGGTTTGAGTTATTGAATCTCACTGATTATACGTGGCATGCATTCATCTCTTTCATGAGAACAAACGCAGAAATGCTGCTCGGGTCCCACCGAGGACATTTCCTGACCGGTTAACAGGCCGTGCCCCGCAGGATGGAAAGCAGCGTCTGAGGGACGTGTTCACATGTAGCCTGCTCCACCTCGGTCTAAAACTTTTTTTTTTCTTACCTATCCCCAGAATGATTGATGTTCTCTGGCATCTTCAGAATCATTGTTGTTCTCGTGTCTAGTGTACATGTCTAGGAGACTTGGGAAGTGACTTTTGTTAACCTCGCCCCCTCTCTCTCTATCTTGGTGTATTTGTTAAGAAGGATTAATGTAGTTGCAGCACAGCGGGGAGGAAGAAGCCCGCAGACTGGAAGATCAGGCTACAGAAGAAAGCAGGGGCCGAATCACGGGAAGCCTCGTGGGTCACGGCAATTGTTTAGGTTCTATTGCAAATGCAGGGGGATCCAGTTGGAGGATCTTACTTCATTTATTTTTTTGTATAGTACTGGGGGTTGAACTCAGGACCTTCACAGTGAGCACCATCCCCAGGCCACTTTATATTCATTTTGAGACAGGGTTTCACTAAGAAACCAAGTTACTGGGCTGGGCTTGAACTTGTGATCCTCCTGTCTCAGTCTCAGGGTTCTGGGATCACCTTTCTTATTAAGTGAGTCATTGGCTTTCTAGAGAAGGAAACGTTGTAAGGCAGAGACCAGCTGGACCACTCTTGCACATAGAGTGGTTCATGCAGGAGAGATGAAATCATGAGAAATAGGAAAATTTTGATAAAGTAGATAATAAAACTTTTAATCAGTATATGTAATAGTCGTGTCGTGACTAGTTGGTAATTTTAATATTGGCCACAAAATCTTCCTGCCTTGTGTGTGTCTTTTGGAATACTTAAACACTTCCACGGAACTAGGCGAAGGTATTCACTGTTTCTGAGTTCTCCTACTTCCTTCCATCTCCTTATGCCAGAAGTGAAGTTGGCTCCAGGAAATGGCATTCCTCTTGTACCACCTGCGGGGCACAGCAACGTAAAGTGGCTCCTTTTACCCCAGGACAAACTGTTGTTCGAGTTTTAAATCCGTGGACAGATGGAGTTGCTGTCTGTTCACCTGTCGGACACTGGCCCTTGCTGGGGTCCATTTCTCTTGTTTCACAGTGCTTTTCTTGTGCACTTAGCCGTGTTTGGCTAGAAGCTGTTTTCTCAGAAAATTACTTACACGACATTTTTAGATTTATGATACAAGCGTATCCCTCTGGCGGTATTTAGTGGTTTCCTCTGCTGGGTGCCCGGGGCAGTGCCGGGCTGGGTGTCCTTTCACTTCCTCCATCTGCACCTCTGGCTGTCCCTGGAGCTGGCCTGGGACGGCTGGGAGGGTGGGTTTTCCTCCTCTCCTCTGCTCCCTGCGAGACAGCCGTCCGAGAGGGTGGACTTGGCCTGACTTGCTGCTGCCTGCCCCTTACCGTGAACTTTAGTCTGCTGGAGTTTCAGAGGCTGGTCTTCTCCTGGTTTCCCCGTGTTAATTTTTTGGACGGAAACAGAGAGCTGTGTCTCCTCTTGAGAGGAATGCCCCCAGAGCCACACTGGCTCTTCAGCTCAGATCTTGAAGTCTCCGCCTTCACACGGAGTTCTCTGCTGTTTCTTCTGACTTGGTCAGCAGTGTGTGTGTTTTCTTTCCAGAGATTTTCACTTTTATGCAGCATTTATGGTGGCGCTCAGGAGGGTGGTTCATCTGAATTAAGTAGTTTACAATGTTACTGGCACCCAAACTGTATTATTACTTTTCTGTATTTTAGATTTATTTATATTGTCACGTGTGTATACTAAATGATTTTTTTATTATTTATGATTTTTTTCAGAATTGAATATGTGGAATGTAGTGATTTTTAGTGGGTATTTGTGTATCTGGATATAGTTTGAAAGTTAGTGATGTGTGTATGTACCAGTTCCTATAAGGAATGTAATTATTATATATTGCAAAGATATACCAACTTAAAAAAGCGTTTTTGAGTTTTCCAAGATGCCTTTTTCCCCTCTGGTCTGGGGACCGACCTCATACATATTAGGCAAGTGTCCTCCCACCTGAGATGTACTGCCGGGGGAAGACCCCTTCTTTGGTAGTATTGGGCGTTGAACCCGTGGCCTTGTAGAAACCAGGCAAAGCGCTCACTGAGCTCCAGCTCCAGCCCTGAAATGCCTTTTTTTCAAAGAGTGTCCGTCACCTTGAACGTTTCAGAGAATGAATGTATGTAAACTGCTTCCTTCATTGAGAAATGTGGCGAATTGCTGTTTGTTTTTCTGGACAGATTATGGCTTACTAACCACACCCCAGCTGCACTACATGGTGTACTGTCGAAACACCGGCGGCCGATATGGAAAGGCAACCGTAGACGGTTACTACCAGAAACTTTCTAAGGCTTTTGTGGAGCTTACCAAACAGGTGAGAAATATCGTGAACGTGGTTAAAATGCAGACAAGTGAAAAAGTAACAGGATCCATCAAACAGTTTATCTTACTTTGTCATTCCTCCTTCTCCCTTTTACTTGTGGCCTCTGTTTTCTCCCCAGAGCGCCACCAGATTCTGCTCTGAGTGTCCTGCTAACTGTTCATTCCTTTGTGTACTAACTGTTACATTTGAACGGCTGTCACGTAATGCCGACTGTAATATTTCCTAGGAACCCTGCTTACTTGAGGCTAGATTGTATTAAAGCTCCATTTATACAAATTGTTCAGTAAGTGAAAGTATTCCAGTGTCCACGTTGATTTTTAAATTTTACTATGGTGTTTTATAATTTCTATCTAAATATATGTATGTTTGTTTTCTGGGATGAGCAAACTAAAATAATGAAGATATATATATTATATTTTACTTTTATAACCTGGAAATTTTCTCCCATGTCTTTTCTTTGAAGGCTTCCTGCAGTGGAGATGAGCACAGGTCACTTAAAGTGGACTGTGCAAATGGTATAGGGGCTCTGAAGCTAAAGGAAATGCAACACTACTTCTCCCAGGGGCTGTCCGTTGAGCTGTTTAATGACGGGACCAAAGGGAAGCTCAACCATCTATGCGGGGCTGACTTTGTGAAGAGCCATCAGAAGCCTCCAGAGGGTGTGTATTACTAGCACTGTGCAAACTTGATTTTAGAATTCTTCGGGGCCAATCTCATTTACAAGCCTGGGTGCTCACATGAGTTAAGAGTCAGGTAGCTGGTCCTTGCTCTGCCGTTTTTAGACAGTTAGGAACCTTCTGTGTTGTCACTGCCTTTCAAAACCCGTGTATTCTGCGTGTTTGTCATGCCGCTGCTTCTAGCTGGTAGGAGGTCTGCGGAGAAGGCAGAGTCAGAAAACGCATTGGCTCCCAGACTTCAGCGCACATCAGATTGGCTTGTTAATGCAGATTGAGGGGCCCCGCCCAGTTTCTGATTTGCTGGGTCTGGCGTATGATTTGCATAGTATTTCTGCCAAGTTCCCAGGCTTCGTGGATGGTAAAGTTCTGGTGACTACACTTGGAAAATACTGACCTTAAAGGTAGCAAGAGTAGGCAACATTATCTTCTACCTCATCTTCCAAGTTACACCATGGGAAGGGAATGTAATTTTAGTTTTCTTGCATCACGGGTCTGAAGTTAGCAGCCTGTAAGCCAAACCGGGCCTGCAGACGTGTTTGTTTTGGTTTGCGGGTGTTTGCCTGTGTGTTTAGTGCATTAGCTGCCTCTGTTAAAAAATCCTGTGATTTCTCTTAAATACTGGAATGCCTGTCATCTCTTTACCAGAACTCAGCATACCTTTTCATACTTCATTTTTCTGCCACACCTTTAAATATGACATAGATTCTAGAAATGCACAGATTTCATGTGGTTACTGCATTTAAAATGTAAGCATTTAAAATGTTTGGTAAGTCAACCATTTGGAGACTTTTCATGGATTTGCTTGTTTTGACCTTTATTTCTGGGTCACTCGTTTGTCCATGACTCTAAGCTCTCTCCGCTGCTCTAAGCACTGGGACCAGTGTGAGCCTCAAGCCGTAGCCCTTGCTGTCTTCAACCCTGAACCATGGCTTACAGGCAGCATTTGACGCACATTCCTGACAAAGCCTTTCGTTTCTTAGCTGCCTGAGTCGGCTTCGTCACTCTGCTGCTGGTAGGGCTAAAGGTCAGCCAGATATTTTAATAGTTTCAATAACTTCATACATACTTTACGAGCTGCTTAGTTACTCCTTACGGGTTGTAATTCTTCCTTCTTACTCACCAGTGTTTCTTAGTATTGGTGCTGTGAACAAATAAAAACTGTTCCTTTTAGAATTAAAGCACATATCTATGGCTGATGACTTTTTTAAATGTAAAGGACACCAAAGTACGAGTTAGATTATATTCAGAAATCTCTCTAACTTTCAGAAAACTGTAGGAAACCTATCTAATCAAACCCGCAGGTTTGTAAAATGGAATTTTAAGCCAGGTGTAGTGGTGTGCACCTGTAGTCCTAGCTACTCTTAGAGGTGGGGGCGGGAGGATGGTAAAATTGAGACTAGGATGGGCAACGTAACACAACCTTATTTCAAAATAAAGGCCTGGGGATGTGGCCCAGTGCATTTAATCCCCAGTATTATAAAAAAAAAAAGGTGGAATTTTTAGTATTATAGCAAGGTTCAGCATAGATATTTTCTTGAATGTTTTTCCATTTTGAAAGAATTTGATCTATAAAAATGACTAATAAACAGGACATTAAAATTCAGACTGGTTTTTACCTGGAAGGATAATTTTAAACATCTCTTGAAAAATTTATAGTGGATATGCTATACCTGTAACACCTAAGGCCAATTCTGATCATGCTTTATCGAAAAAATTTTCCCTGGTTACTAGTGTAAAAGAAAAGCCTGCAATTTTTCATACTGCATTTTATTCCTGTTTCTAAGACTGAAATGTATTTTAAATTATCTTGTGCCTTAGGAATGGAAATGAAGTCTAATGAAAGATGTTGTTCCTTTGACGGAGATGCGGACAGAATTGTGTATTACTATCGGGATGCAGATGGTCAGTTTCATCTCATAGATGGAGACAAGATAGCAACGTTAATTAGCAGTTTCCTGAAAGATCTCCTGTCGGAGGTATGATGGCAGATTGGCTGCCCTGTGAAACCACGCTCATTGGTGAAGCCGTTCCACGTCAGACATTCATCTGAATGTCTCAGAGGCATAATTCATGGGAGGGTCTTCACATTTGTGGCTAGAAAATACAAAGAGAAGTGGTAATTTCAATCATTTCAGCATTGGGCCATCAGTTCAGAACCTGTTTTAGAATCAGTTTGTCTTCCTTATACTGGCCAGGTTTTACACTTTGAAGCTTTGTTAAGTTTTGATTTCTTCATAACTGAGTTCCAGCATTACATCAAATTTTAACAGAAAATATCATCTTGGATATTTATCTACTATGATTATGATAGAAATGTGAGTTTTCCCCCCTTTTTCAGAAATCTTTTAAGGTTTTTAAGATGAAATTAGAAATTATAATTGGGAAGAGCTATATTTTAAGAATTCAATAAATACTTTCATTAAAAATATAAAAGACATAAAATCGGGAGACAAGCTTCTTTAAGAAGGACTTCCTCTTAAGTAGTGCTCAAAACTACTGTGTTTTTTTTTTGGCGTATGTAATTTTAATAAGTCCCTTATTGCATAAACTAAGGCACAGCTGATTTGGTTAGCTTTAGGAACGCTTGGGTTTGGTTTTGTGGACTGTACTTTTGATGACAAGTTAAATATCACTGTTTTTGTCTAGATTGGAGAAGATTTGAATATTGGTGTTGTACAAACTGCATATGCAAATGGAAGTTCCACACGGTATCTTGAAGAAGTTATGAAGGTACTGATCCATTTTTATTTTCTGTTTCTTAGTAATTATAAAAAAATTCTGAGATAAGTAACATCCTCATAAAAGTGTACAGGCAGTAGTTGTGAAGCTGAGCTATGTTTATGCAAGAGTAAGTAGAAATCAAAAATAAAAACCTTCATTGTCTCTGATGCAAAGAGACATTTTCCTCATTCCTTTTCTTAGATCATTTCTTTTAGTTTTTTTTTTGTTTGTTTGTTTTTCTGGTATCGGGAATCGAACTCACGACCTCGCGCTTGCCAGGCAGGCGCTGTGCTGCTGAGCTAAATCCCCAGCCCCTTCTTTTAGTTTTTAAAACTTATGAATTCTTTCTGTGGCCCTTTGTAATCAGTGTAAACCTTTTTAAAGGCCAAGCAGGTCAGTTTTATGACTCGGGAGTATTTTCTTAAGAGACTGGTGACACCTCCTACGAATATAACCCCAAACTTGAATTTCATGAGATTTACTTAGGTGTTTATTATTCCTTTGAGTAAAGTCAGTTAACCAGAAGCCCATTTCAGTTACCAAGAAAATTTAGCATAAACTGTGATCACAAATGGTATTTTGAGGCCTATAATTTGAGGGTTAATACTAACTAAAAATGGTTCGTAATACTTTTTAAAATGGTAAGGCAAGTTTATGTTCAGGAGTGTTGTGATATGGTGGGTTTCTGCGATGGAGTTTTGCAGTCAGAGATAATAGGGCTAAATTCCAAATACAACAGGGAAATGGGGGATTTCACAGCTAAGAAGAAGGGTGTTTATGTGGGTGGTGGTCAGCAGCTGGGGAGTTCCTAAGAGGAAACATCAGAGTAAAGATACTCTGGCTAAGCCGAATTTTCGATGAAGGCAGGACAGGCTGATCAGACATTGCCTGAGCAAGCGTGGAGGATGAGGAGATATGGAGGGCCGGTAGGTTTCCAGCCAGGGGATTCAGGCTAAACCAGTTGAGCAGAATTCTTGCTAAAATTGCGCTCTTGGAGGGCCTGGCGAACGCTGCTATCTAGCTACACTCAGGTGAGCCAGGTTTGAGTTTATTCAAGGAGAGAGTCTTTATCCTCAGCCATCTTTTATGTTGAGAACTTGTAGGAAATAGAGTATGTCTGCTTGGCTCTATGAAAGGGTGAGCTGGCTTTCTTTTTGTTTTTGCGATCTCCTTAGCAGCTTGCCTGTGATGTGTGTATCACCCTCTGCCCTAATAAAACTGTTCCTTGACATTTCTTTTGTAAGTAGGGTTTCTGGACTGATAGATTTTGTTTCTAACTATTTTTCACCCATGAGATTGCCACTTTGTGTACCTACCGTACTAACTGTTCTAACAGGGAGGTCATAGCCAAAATTGGTAATCTGTTTCCCTTTACCCTTTTTCTAGTTTTCTAATGAGTGCAGTCATTGGAATTTTTCCAACTTTTGTGTAAGCCATTTCAAATTCCATCAGGATCAGGACAGGGTAAAGTGAGGGAGCGGCCTAGCTGACTAGGCTGGGAAGAAGTGTGCCCCGGCCGGCTGCTTTAGTCAGTTCTGAAAGAGAAGTGCAAATCTGAATTTTTATGTGAATTTTCTCTTCTAAGAGAAATAGAAGATAGGAAAATTTATGACCTGCTTTGAATATATTTTTAATACTTAAAAATTTATATTTATTTTTCTTTATGATTAAACAAACCCAGGGGACTCCACCGGGGGCCCAGATTCCTGTTTTTCACAGTGATGCTCAGCACTTAGGTTGTTTAAACGGTGGTCCCATGTTTTGAGAAATGTTGTACCATTGGTGATTCAGTTATGTAAACAGAGTGTAATTAACAGAGATGGCTCTGATGTCACTATGTGACATCGTCTTATGGCACCACTGCACTTCACACAGGCTGTAGTTCACTCATCAGAACATTATGTTTTATGGTGCATGACTGGGTTTTAATTTTGTCTTCAAAGTCTCTTAGATGTCCTGTTCAGGAAACTGAATAGACCGCAGACACTTATTTCTCGAGCCATTCCTGAGGTCTCCTAAGGGCAAGCAGCTGCGGATCTGGAGATCTCCTTTGCAGTCATTTTTATCCTCAAACATTCTTAAATCTACTCATGGTGTCTATTCACCGTGACTGGTTCAGCCACTGTAATTTCTTACTTGGAATAGTCATGGCAACTTCCTAACTCGCCCCTTTCTTAATCTTGTAAGCCAGGAGTTGGCAAACAGTGGCTTGATCAACTCCAGCTTGCCATTACAAGGTTTTCTTGGAATAGAGCCATGCACATTTGTTATAGGTTGCAAACCTAAAATCTTTATTAGTTGGCCTTTGCCAGCAAAAGCGTACAGGTCCTTGCTGGAAGCCATTCTCCATATTGTAGCTAAAAAGACAGTTTAGATCGTGTAATGGCCACTTAAAATCTTTCACTGTCCTGAGACCCTCGACTCACTGGTTTGGCGTGAGCCTCAGTGCCTTCGTTTCCCCACAGGGCGCGCTTTGTGTATGTGTATGTAGGAATAGCTGTCATCTGAATAACTGCTGTTGTGTTTCCTGGTCTGTGCACGTTACAGGTACCTGTTTACTGCACTAAAACTGGTGTCAAACATTTGCATCACAAAGCTCAGGAGTTTGACGTTGGAGTTTATTTTGAAGCAAACGGGCACGGCACAGTAAGTTCGCTTAAAAGGCCACAACTGGCCTTGCTGGCATTTTTTTTCTTTTTAATGAGTTGTATTTCTGGGTAGTGATAGGTAATATTCCACTCCGTTGAAATGACATGGTGGTAAGATGATTTAGTTAACGTGTATTTTCAAATATGTGAACCTGTGGTTCTTTTACATCTTTAAGGTCTTTATTTGTGAAGAGACTGATTTTTCTCCTAATAATTAAAAATAATGCAGTTCTTTGCTTTTCCTTCCTTTCACTGACCAAGGAGGGAAAAGTTAAAGTTGAATAGCTGTGGGGAATTGAAAAGAGTTAAAAGTTGAGAATTAAATAACTGTAAATAGATTTAAAATAATTGGTGATAGCATATTAGATATTAAAAATATCTTTCTTAGCAATGAATATTTGGAAAATTTTGAGACATAATTCACATACTATAAAATTTACAATTTAAGAGTATATAACTAAGTAGTTTTTAGATTCATATGGCTCAGGGTTTTTCCGCACATTTCCCATGCTTCTACTTTGTATTAAGCACCACATACCATACATCTCATTGCATCTTCACAACGTGCTTTGGACAAAAAAAAAAAAAAAGGTTCTAATTTTTACAGCTATAGCCGAGAAACCAGAGGTTTTGAGAGGTGACAGATTTTCACTCAGAATCTGACTCGGAAAGCTCCTTTTATATTAAGTGGAGCTTGACGCATCATTAATAGGAGGCCTGCCTTGTCCCTGGGATCTAGTTCCTGCACTTTGTGAAAAACTCTGCTCAAAATGTACTGCTCAAGGCATGACTCAAAGACTAGTTCCTCCCCGCCAGACTAGTTTCCTTCTCTTCCCGCCAGTTGTAGAGATAAGGGCCAAGGGATCGTTGTGGGACAGAGCTTAGGGAACAAGAGGCGCCTGAAACAGCAATGCCTGGATTGCATGAAGACTCCCAGACTGTCGGCGTGGACGTGGCCTAGAGGCAGGAAAGCAGACGAGCAAGGCAAACCAGGCCGTGTTGTGTCAGGAGGCTGCCAGGACCAATCCTCTAGGACGCAGGCTCAGGATTTTTAAGTTTCTTATGTCTTTATGCTTCCCCTTCATAGATTTGAATGAACCAACAGAAAATTTGAATCTAGGCCAAATCACTTCCCTTATTAATTCGAAGTTGGCTTCCAGAGGCCATAAATATAATGAGAAATTGTTCCTATAAAATACAATGAAACTGTTAACTGAAGTGACCTAATGCAGGGCTTGGTAAGTGTTCTTTTAAAGGGTAGATAGGAGCTATTTTAGGCTTTGCGGGTCTCCTAATTGCTCACCTCCCTCACGTGGTGTAATCGAACAGGTAAGGCTGTGCTTCCGTAGAACCTCATTTCCAGGAGCAGGTGCCCCGGGTGCACCGCGGACAGTACTTTGTCAAGTAGTTGAGCACCGAGTGCTGCTACTCTTCAGTCCAGGGCGTAGGGGGCCTAGAAAGGATGGGTAAGGCATTTCAGTGACAGGAACCTTGAGGAACATGACATGTATTGTAATAAAGGCCTGCTGCACTGTCTGGCCCGTGATTACATGTGAGGAACCCTTTCTGAAGCGGCCCTGTGTCTTTCTTTCAGCTGTTTCAATTCTGATAACCAGGTTTACAAACAGTGTACTTTCTTTCCTGTGATAGCCTTTGGGTTCAGATTTGATCTCATCAGTTTCATAGAGGGCTGCCATTTTGTCCCCTCAGTTTCTCTAGTTATTAAAAGTACAAAATAGTTTACCTAGCATGATAGTATTTCTCGTTGGGGCCTGGATGTTTTGTGACGATTTCTTTTGCTTTTATTGCAGGCCTTGTTTAGTAAAGCTGTGGAAGTGAAGATAAAACAGCTAGCAAAAGAATTAGAAGATAATAAAGGAAAAGCTGCTAAGATGCTTGAAAATATCATTGACTTGTTTAACCAGGTCAGAAATGATGGGGTGGTGGCTATTTTATATTACAAAAGTGGAAGCCGGGCGTGGTGGCACATGCCCATAATCCCAACACTCAGGAGGTTGAGACAGGATTACTGCAAATTTGAGAGCAGCCTGGGCTCAAAGTGAGCTCAAGCCCAGCCTGAACTGCATAGCGAGACCTTGTTTCAAAAAGACAAAAAACTAAAGTGGAGAAGTCCTGAGCTGGTTGCTCCTTGCAGCAGTCCTTATGCGTACTGTTGCGAGTTTTGGTGAAAGAAGTGACAGCATTTATATGCTTCCTACATTTTATGCTGAGAAATAAGTACATGTACTGAGCAGCTGCCACCTACACTCAACAGTTAGCTGTGTGTTATAATTAAAAAGAAACATCTTAAGGAAATGGAGTCAAGCTAATTGGTGGTTTCTTGCACAGAGGACATATACGTGGGGAAGGACAGTGGAGACAGTAGCTATAGAAGAGTCATCGAGACGGGGCAAAGCGGCGGAAGCGTATTTGCGTGTTCCGCACATACCGGGCACTTTACGTCCGGGCCCAGCTTCAGGGTGCTCTTACACCAGAGCTCATTTTCTCCACTCACCACGCACCTTGTGTTGTCACGGTACCCTGTACCTCAAAGGGATCTGAGTGCAGAGACAAATCTGTGTCAGGGATGTTGGGGTGAGACTTCAGTTATCTAGTCTATTATCTTTTGGTGAAGAAGAGGACGAGAGGCAAGTTTCCCACAATTTGCTTTTAGTATTTGTTGTGTATTTTGTCATTACCTTCCATACACCGTTCTTACTGCTGTTCACGTATACCTTACACTCCAGTTAATAATGTAACATGAAGGGAAGTCGAGGCACAGGATGTTATACCTGGTTTGCCTAGAATGTTGCAAGATTTGCTTGTTGCTTGCATTGCTTCCCACCTACAGGCGGCTGGTGATGCCATCTCCGACATGCTGGTGATTGAGGCCATCCTGGCTGTGAAGGGGCTGACGGCCCAGCAGTGGGACGCGCTCTACAGGGACCTTCCAAACAGGCAGCTCAAAGTGAAGGTGACAGAGACTGCAGGAGCTTCCTTCCTCTTAACCGGAACCGTCACTCCTCTGAATTTCACTCTTTCATAAAAGAAGGCTTTACTGTTTTTTCGCATCTTTAAAAATTATAGAGTAACTACTTAACCACTGCATTGTTTGAGTACTTGGTTTCCAGCTTTATTGTAAGGAATATTATGCATGACTATGCATCGCTTTAAAGAAAGGTTTTATTATGGGGAATTTAACAGGTACAAATGGTGGGAGCACAAAATCATATGCCCCTATACACTCAGCTTTAACAGCATTCTGTTATCATCTTACATATCCTCTCTATCCCACCCTCATTTTATTTTGAAGCAAAACCCAGAGCCTATCAAGTGAAAATATTTCCTTTGCATTATTTTTAACTCACAGAAGTATTTCCTTAGACTGGATGCTGAGGGGTCAGATCTAATAACCAAGTATGTAATTCTGCACACACTCCAGCAGAATTTGTTAGAAGACAGATACTAAAGCTCGAGCTCCTAGAACTGGCTTTTAATGGTTTGATTAATTGTGGGCATATTTAGGAGATAGTATAGCTCTCTTAGGTAACAGGTTGCCACTATCCTATTAAAAAATGCCTACTTGGGAAATAGATGCACCTTGAGACTATTGTTAAATGAAATAAATCAGACATACAAGCTTAAATTGTGCATGGTTTCTTATACAGGAAACCTAAAACGTAAAGAACAAAATAATAGATAATAGGGAGCTAGATCTTTTGCAAATGGGAAGAGGATGAAAAAAAATCAAGATGTGTTATATACACAGATCAGCTCCCCACGAGGAAGTCATACACTGTCCACATGTACAAAATTAAATACCTAAAGGCAGTAGGTAACCGGGGTCTGAGGTATGATATTGTACAGTATTTACTGGCCATTACTTAAGCGTCTGTAGAGTTTTGTTTGGTTTGCTAAAATAGCTCTGAACCTTAAAAACCCTTCCGTTTTATCTTATACTTAGTCTAGTGTTTCACTAGCTCAGTGTTGTACTTTCTGATACAGCGGCTGAAGTCCTGGTGTGTTATTGTTACTGCCCACCAAAAGATGCAGCTTACGCTGAGCAGCGGGCTGAGTTTCTGACGGGGATTTATGGTGTGTAACAGATGTCCACCCCTCTGCTTAGGTTGCAGACAGGAGAGTTATTAGCACCACAGATGCTGAAAGACGGGTGGTTACACCGCCTGGACTCCAGGAGGTGATCAGTGACCTGGTGAAGAAGTACAAGCTCTCCCGAGCTTTCGTCCGGCCCTCAGGTACAGAGGATGTCATCCGAGTGTACGCAGAAGCCGACTCACAAGTAAGCCGGGGTAGTTCTGAGGAAGATGTGCAGCGAGGGCCTAATGACGGGGTCGGGGAGGAACCCTAGCAGAAGACAGAAAAGTCTCTCAGTGTTGGCAGTTTCACCGTGGAGGTCAAGGTTACATGTCTGAGATTGTATGGAGGCTGTTAGGATCATACTGAGTGTAAGGTTATCATGAATTATAAAATTGAACCAATTAGACCCCTTTTCTTCACTTTCCCCATTTTCTTTTTTTGAGACAGCGCCTCCCTATGTAGTTCAGATTGGTCCTGAACTCATCATGTAGCCTAGGTGGGCTGTGAACTGTGAGCGAGCCAGCTGCCTCGGCCTTCCCCCGCATACTTTTGATTTATTCCACTTCGCGTGTGCTGCTTCTGCGGCAGGATGACGAGATTGACGCGTTAGTGTTGTGCACCGTGCGGCGGGGACTCCCGCGTGGAGAGCAGCGAGCGTTTAGTCCGCGCCTGAACTGGCCGGTGCTGTTTGTCTCGCTCTACTGTTTCCCGCCTGCCGTCAGGGTTGGTGGTCCACTTCTAATTTTCCCTCTTCACGTACTCCATCTTTTTGTCATCTCAGGGTGTGGATGTCAGCGTTTGCACAGAAAAGCAAAGTTGAGCAGGGACTTGGAAGGAGACGTTTATATTACGACTTCGTAGCTTTTTCCTTTTTTTTTTTAAACTGAAGGGCAGGCCACCAAGTAGCTCTGGTGTGTCAGGGAGGGCAGCTGAGATCCTGAGACAGTGATGAAGAACTTTTTAGAGTGAGTACCTAAACTGCAGCCTCAAACCCACTTATTTATCGCGAAGTGCCAACGCTGCAGTTAAACCGGAACACTGAGGTCTCGGAAAAAACTATTCCTACATTGAAGACAGGTATGCCATAGGTTTACCAGCACTGTCCCGAGTTCCTTACTCTTTGGCCAGTTGTGGCTGCCTTGCCTTTAGAGGGAGTAGATTTTATTAAGTTAGAATTTTGGAATAATTAATTTTATTCCCTGGATCAACTGAAACTTACCTTATTTAGAGAATTTGACTTGCTTTCCATTTATTTAAGGGCCTGGGAATGTATTACTGAAAGATGAAAGACGTTTTCATTTGGATATGTTAGTGAAAGTCAGGAAGCCCCCACCCTACCCCGGAGTTGCAAGTAGTGTGGCAGATGTTACGGCTTTCTTATCTGATCTCTTCGATGTATTCTGCAGGAAAATGCAGATAGCCTTGCACATGACGTGAGCTTGGCAGTATTTCAGCTGGCTGGAGGGATTGGAGAAAGACCCACGCCAGGTTTCTGCGGATAATTTTTACATTCCGAAAACTGGATTTTTAAAAAGCTTTTATGAAACTGTAACAACATTCGTAATCATGTTTACATGCACCTTACTGGACTGTTTCTAATCGGTTTTTCCTAAACACTACTAGGGTGTTTTTTTAAGAAATGGGTAAGCCTTTTACGCTTGTTGAAGAAGTTTACCTCTAGTACAATATTGGGGGTGTTAAGTGTATGATTCAGTCATTAATTTTACAGTGTATGCAAGGAGCAGATCTTTCAGAATGCTGGAAAATTAAATCTTATTACTACTCTTCTTGTCATGTCTTTGGCATCGCCATTACATAGTTGAGGTGTTGTTCCCCCTCCGTGATACAAATGGGGGCTGGGAAAGACTACAGCACGTTTTCTGCGGCGCGTCATCGGCGTGGGAGTAAGGGAACTTACCTCTCTGCTGAGCGCCGGCAGGAATGCGGAGGCGTGAACAGACACGCGGTCTGTCTCCCCACACGGAGGGAAGGTGCCCGTGCTGTCCTTACGCAGCTATCCGTGACGGGATGTGAAAGAACTAAATCTAAAGTTGCCAAGCCTTTGATGGCAAACCGCTCTGATACTAGAACATGGTTAACTGTGGATAGAAGAAAATCCCCAGCAACCCTAAATTAAACCAAGCCTGAAACCATAGAAAAAAATGTGCGGTGTGTATTTTGAAGGTTTAAGACAATTCAGGACAATAAAACAATGGACTAGATATATAGAGAGAGCTCTTGTAGGCACCATAATCAGTATGAACCAACAATATTTAAACTTGAGTCAGGCCACATTCGGACATTAGCTCTTATTTACAAATATTTAAATACAACCTAAAATGTGTTTCATTACATATATAAAATGGAAAAAGAAACTATACAACTCAGAGCAGTGTGTCTGTTTTAAATAACTGCAGCGAAACCACTGGTGCTACTCAAGTTTTTACCACCCCTTCCAGAAAATCCTTTTCTACCATCTCTTCTATTTTTTGCCTGGCTTTGCTGGAAAATGCTTTGTGGTTCTCCAGTTTCATGTCCTTGTTGGGGAAGGTGTTTGAGGAGAGGACAGGGCTCCCTGAGGGCCCTCCACACCGACTTGTGACCTTGCTGTTGAAGACCTGGCTGAGGACGTTGAAGAAGGGCAGGAGCTGCTCCATGTTGCGCACGGTGCAGACGGTGAGCAGCAAGTGCCCAGGCTCCCAGCCCAGGGCCCTCCCCGAGCCGTCTTCCTCGGGGTTCTTCTGTAGGAAACAGTAATCATTGGTGTACTGTGTTAGAGAAGTCAGACATAAACACCAGAAATCGGAGTTACGAAATGAATACAGATGATGTTAAGTCTGCATTCAGGCTTGACTGGAACCCTTGTTGGTTTCTTTTTTGGTACTGGGAGTTGAACCCAGGACCTCGTGCTTGCCAGGCGCTGTGTCACTGAGCTGTACCCCCGGCCCCAAACCCTTGTTCATAAGGCCTTTCGGTACCACGTGCTGATTTTATGTGTGGGGGTCTAACACACCTCATGTAATAGTAATTTCCAACCGTAATGTACAGGTAAGTTTAGTTGGCAGAGGTTATTTTAGACAGTGATAAGGAGTCAAATATAAATAACAAGGTCCTTGATTGGTGAACTCCCACTAATATAACCAAGGACTAGGTCACAAAGGATTATAAAAGAATTAGGAAAGGACTTTGAGCTTCATACAACTAGCTAAATGGCCTAAACTTGCCACAAGATTATAGGAGGGTCAAGAAGTGGATAATTGCTATCAGTATTGTACCACGGAGAAAAGGGATCCTCGGGGACACTGCTGCCACCCTGGTGGTTGTGCTGAGCAACGTGGAGAAGAAAGCCTGACTGAGTCAAAGGAGCTGGGTTCGTGTTTGGCTCTGCCACTTACTGTTTTGCAGCCTTAGAGAAGGCATTACTGTTCCTCATTGATGAAATAGGAAAATCTAGCTACTAGCAGTAGGAGAGTCAAATGAGAAAGTATTCTGCAAACTGTCAACTAAATACAAGCACCAATAATTTGGTTTTAATCTAATTTCAAAAACCAGCTAAACTGGGCATAGTGGTGCATACCTGTAATCCCAGCAATACAGAGGCTGAGGCAGGAGAATCGTGAGTTCAAGCCCAGCCTGGGTTACATAGCAAGTTCAAAGCTAGCATGGACTACATAGCAAGACTTTGTCTCAAAGAAAAACAAGCCAACTGAATTACACAGCCATATATCGGTCTCTTTCGAGAAAGAGATGTTTGTACTTGGACAAAATCACAGATGTAACAACATGGTAAAGATAAAACAATGAACTATAGAGAAAAAGGAAAAAAATATCATTATTCACTGAGACTTAGGAAGGAGAATTCATTCACAAATGAAGTTTCCTCTAAGATCTGATGTTGGTGAGAAACTTCCACCAATTACCTGATATTTTAACATCACCCATGTCCTAGTGGGGAGAGATGCAAAATCTTGTGATCTCAAGGCTTGTCTGTGTTTTTGTGTGTGATGCTGGGATCAAACGCAGGGCCTCAGGCGTGTTAAACATGCAATTGACCCAGGTCTGTCTGCTGAGTGTAAAGCCAAGTGTTAAGAATACAGATGTAGAACAGACTTCATAAGAAAAAAAAGGTCATCTAGTTCTTATCTGTGGCCAAAACAAAACAAAAAAACACCCCAAATGACAAAAACTCAGCTATCAGTCTTAGTAGTTATTTAAACTCTGATCTGGATTACACTATAATACAAAAGTAGCCAGGCGTGGTGGCGCACGCCTGTAATCCCAGCACTAGGGAGGCTGAAGCAGGAGGATTGTTCTGAGTTTGAGACCAGCCTGGGCTACAAAGTGAGCTCAAGGCCAGCCTGAACTGCATATCGATACCCTGTCTCAAAAAGACAAAAAACCAAACAAACAAAAAAGTATCCCCCATTCTCTTAATTATAACACTGGCTTTCATGAGAGACCGCTGAGTGGCTTTCAGATCACTGACTACCAGTGCTGGCTGACCGCATCACTTCTGTCCTAAGTCAAACTACAATTCCGCTGTCTGTATCACAGGGTACAGAGATGAGTTTACCTCCGAAGGAAAACGAATACTGTACCTGCACCCTCTATACAGTTTATTTACAAATGTAAGGCAACCATGGCTTATATTACCTATCAGGAAGTGCCTTAAGACAGGGATTTTTTTTTTTTTTTTGCAAGCTCTTGACTACGAGGAGCATAGCTGTTTCAGTGATTATACTGTTTTTTATCAGACTTAAGCCTCCTGTTAAAGTCAAATGTTTCCATACAGAATTCCTCCTTTGACTTCATAGTCTACACAAGGAGAAAGCCTTCCTTCCTGTTTACCTCTCTTGTACCTGATGAAATCCAGACCTGGGCTTTGTGTGTCCCTATTGGGTCCAGATGTGGCCGTTTTTGCTGCTGTATCACAAGCATCCAACAGCCACCCTCACCTGATGTTTGGCTATGTCCAATCCCTCCAAAATCACTGCCTTAAAGTCCTCCTCGTCCTGTGGAAGGAAAGAGGAGAACTCACAGCCTTTGTATCACTGAAAAATGTGCTGGCCTTGAAGACCTTGTTTAAAGCATGGGTAGGAAGATGCTTTCCAATCAAAATACAGTAGTTTTCTTATTCTTTGGGGTAAGTTCTGGGGAAAACTCATGTCTGTCCTTTAGACAGGGAGAGGTCTTAAAAGAATTCTACTTCTGAGCTACTGGAGTAACAGGGCATGTGTCTAGGGCCATATGAAATTGCGCTATTTCTCGGTTTGTCCTGATGACCTTTCCAAATCCTGTGACAGCCGACTAACGCTGTGCATTCCTCAACAATCCAGCTTCCATGCCCCACATCTCCGTCCTTTTCTTTAGCTTCTAAGGAAGCAACTGGGATTACAGATCAAGTTCCCCGTGTCCTTCAAGGAAAACCTCCTTTTTCATCGCTTTCTCACATCCCTGTGTATAGTGTATGGAACTGAGTTTAGGAACTGCTTCCTAATTGGGGAAACTTTCAGAAGATTGGAAAATTTCTGATCACACAAAGCACATAACTGCAAACTAAACCTCACAAAATAACCTATATCATCCCAAAACCATAGAGTTTATTTTCCAAAATTTACATGCCAAAAAATGACAACGCGTAACAACAAAGATCCAATGAGCACGCCGATTTCATGATGCTCTTGTTCTTGGCAAAGGTATGCAATAAATAAACCTGACATATACTGAAATATATAGTATGATACGGTATACAGTAAATACAGTATCACCTCTGCTCACACTTCTGTCTGCACACAGTTCGTGTGGGCAGAGTTCTACTTCTGTTCATGAACTCTGTCCTGGGTGCTGAACACCACTGCAGCTGTGTTTCTCCACTCAAACACCACCGCTGCCTTCTCCAGGATTGTGGAATGAATTAAGTTCGTGAGCTGGGAGACCACTGTAGATTTTACAACTTTTGTCTTCCTACTGTTTGCTTATTTATATGTTTTAAGTAAATTTTTACTTTTAAACCTGAGGAACATCTATTTCTTAAGTAGAAGCTTAACATTTTTTGACTCTTCACTAACTTTTCAATAGAGACAGTGTACAATTTTCGAGTGTTTTAAAAACTGGGGAGGAGGCCTGGAAGTCTATTAAAATGAAACGTGTTCAATATCAAGAGTACAAACTACACAAAAGGAAATACACATTAAAGGCACGTGCTGTTTGATGAGAACCTTAAGATTGTTTTATGGGTGTGCTAGTTGGAATACGGAACACAGTTTAGGTTATAATCACAAAAGCAAAAAATAACAGATGAATTTTTAGCATGTACATTTTACTTCATATATATAAACAGAATGAATGCTAACGATTACTTTATTATTCAAGGTTAGCTGATTCAATTTTGATGAAATGTTCCTGCCAGTTCATTAAAATTTAAAATGTATAATCTCTTCAATTAATGATTATTTCTTGTTGAAACCAATCTGACGGATTTATTTTACAAAATTCCTTTTACAATTGCATTTTTCTCAGTGAACTCATACCAGTTATTCATCAAGGCATTCAGATGACCGTTGTGGGTGTACTACATTCTTAAGGTTGGACATAAAAACCTTTTAGGACTACATTACTAAGTACTTATATGCATGATTTTGAGGTTTTTTTTTTTTTTTACTTCGAGAAGAATATATTTTAAGACAGATGTTTTTTATTAGTGTACAAAAGATTTCTTTTTAAAATATGACTATCTGGGCTGGGATTTAAGAGTGCCTCCCATGTACAAGGCCTTGGGATCAATCCCAAGGGCTGAAGATTAAGTGTTTCTTTTTTTTTTTTTTTAAACTTACTTTATCAAGACGGGTGAGATCTTGCTAAATTGCCCAGTCTGGCCTCAAACTTGCAGCTCTTTGCACCTCTTCAGTGGCTGGGATGACAGGTATGTGCCATTGCACCTGTATGTATTATTTTAATGCTCATAAATATTAGGTTTGTATCAGTTGTGAAAATTCGGGACTTGTTTGCAAAATAGCTCAATTTGACAGCATCCTCAGTTTCCCAGGAACTATTTAATAAATGCTTGACCAATGCAAGGGTTACTTAATGTAACAAATAGTACAGTGAGTCCATTTGGGTTGCAAAATTTCACAGGAGCATTTTTAAAGACCACTTTGTCAGATGCAAACTAATCTGATGTACAAACATTCGCCCAGAACAGAATTTGTGAGTCCGGGACTTACTGTAATCACATCATCTAACAATACAAATGCAAAATGTAACACGCACGCAGGTAATAAAAAATTTAATACCTTTGCCCTTTTCCGGAGCAGTTTTGCTAGTCGTACCACGTAAGGTTTAAATTCTCGTTGATGTATGCCCTGCCTCCTGACTTCCAAACCTGAATCATCTGAGGCTTCTGGAATAAAGGCCCATCGGTACCTATGTGTGGAAGAATGACACCAACATCACTAAGACAAACTTTGTGCTAAGGTGAGCTCACGTAATGTAGTAGAAAGATCATCGTTCTATAACTTACGAAGGTTACAAATGCTGCTACTGGTAGCCTGACACCTTGGGTTTGTTTTTTAATGTCTGAGACTTTTCTTATCAGTAAATATATTATTAAATGCTGTACACGGGTTTTAAGGGATAAATAATGATATATAAACTTGTAAATTGCACATCACTATTTTTCACAAGCACAAAGCAAATACTCAACAAATGTTTCATTCTGTATTAGCTAGTAGGCAAAAAATTCTTAAAAGGAAATTGCTTTTATGTAGTTTATTGTCTCTTTGTACTATAGTAGTCTGGTAAAAACCTGATTTTCTAACATATAATTGACTAAATGTTCCTGAAAAACAGTAAGTGTGCTAAGGACTGAAACTTTAAATATTTAAATAGGACTTCTGCCATGCCTCCTTTATATTTTTATTTATACATTTTTCTCAAGTAAAACATTTGACTGTGGGAAGAAATTAAACAATATAAAGGAGATACTAAAGTAAAGTAGTCTCACCTACCGTAAGACCTGTGAGTTTCTTGTGTTTTTCTGGAAACAATTTATTCATGAAATGGCACATATACCATGAACCCTCCCCGCCTCCCCCTTGAGCAAAGTAGACACTTTCCTGCTTGTTTTGTTCTAATTATATATCTTAGAGATTTCACATCATGTTAAACTCATTCTTTCTACAGCTCCATGGTACACCATGGATTTAACCGAGTCTCTCAGATTGTCCTGTTCAAAAAGCACCTTATAGTACAAGTTACTCACATGAAAATTATTTTATGCATATCTGTAAGTATACTGTTAGAATAAATCCTTTAGATATAGCAGAACCGTTAACTTCAAAGTACATTTACAGTAAATATAACCCTCTGGAGAAGTGAATACTATCAATGTATACTTCCAACAAGAATGATTCTATTAAGAGTAAAGGCGGGCGCACAGGGAGCCACGGGTGGGGAGCGCCGGTCTTCCGGCTGGCTAGCTTCCTGCCTCGTGGGCTCCTGGAGGGAGGGCCCTGGACGAATGGGGAGCCTCGGGCGGGGAGTGCTGGTCTTTGGACCGGCGGCTCACTCCCTGCCTCGTAGGCCCCGGAAGGAGAGCCCCTGGCGCACGGGGAGCCTCGGGCGGGGAGCGACGGTCTTCCAGCTGGCTAGCTTCCTGCCTCGTAGGCTCCCGGAGGGAGGGTCCCCGGCGCATGGGGAGCCACGCGGCAGCGAGCGCTGTTGCGCGCCGGCCCTTAGGCCGGCTGCTGCTGCTCAATTGAGATCTATCATGACACAGAGAAACAGTGACACAATTGGCTCACCATGCAATGACTGCAGATGCCCACCCATGGACGTGTGTGAATCATTCAAACTTTGAACAAC